ATACAAGCTCAGATGAAAACATAGAAGCGGAATTTGTGAAAAAGTCACGGATACCACCCATAACTATTAAAGTAGATTACCCTACTTGGAAAAACATAGCTAGGGCACTTAAACAGAGAAACATTGAGTTTAACTCTAATAAGAATAATAAAGGGATTAAAATTTTCATCAGAAACCCTGAACATTACAGGCAGACTGTTACTTATTTAAAAACTGACATACGAAACTGTTACTTATTTAAAAGACACAAAAGTGGAACATCACTCTTTCACGCTTTCCTGAGGATAAAGACATAAAAGTTGTGATAAGAGGTCTTTTAAAGAGATACAGATACGGTAGAAATACAAGAGGAGTTAGAGGATTTAGGATACAAAGTTGAATCAGTTAAGCAACTTACGCGCAGAAGAAAAGGGGAGGTTATTAAACTCCCGCTATTTTTAGTTACTCTGCCTAAGAAACCCAAATCCAAAGATATACACAACGAAACTCACTTATGTGACCTAGGAATTAAAGTCGAAAATTATAAAGGTAGATCGGGCACGCTACAATGCTATAGGTGCCAAGGATTTCATCATACGCAAACTGGCTGTAACTATGCACCCAAGTGCGTGAGATGCGGAGAGGGACATTTGTCCTTTGAATGCCCTAATAAAAACTCTGACTTGCCACCATGTTGTGCGAACTGTAAACAATCTCACACCTCGAACTTTGGGGGGTGAGATGCTCCCTAAACAGAAACAGGATAAGCCAAAAGTCTATACTAGTAGGGTTATAGAAAATAAATCACTTGCACAAGCCCTGTCTACTGGTTTGTATGCAGACACGATCAAGGAAGCAAAAACTGTTTGTTTTGCACACCTGGCCGAGCTTGTATCGGTCATTAAAGAGCTCCGGCTTTCTTTTAACACAGCAAATAGGACAAAATGTACCTACTCATAAGGACAAAACTACCATAAATCAAGATCTTAATGGATAGGTACACCACACAAGGAGATCCTATAAAATTAGCATTCTGGAATGCTCATGCCATTCAGAACAAGTTGACGGAATTTTTTAAACTTCCTTAACAATCACAATATTGATATTGCCCTTGTAACAGAGACTTTTGCCACGCCATGCGTGCGTATAAATTTGCCTAATTACCGCACATATAGGTGCGATCGTTTGAGTCACCGCGGTGGGGGGCCGCAATTTATGTGCGCAAACTCGCTACCAGTCCTGTTTGATTAGCCAAGATAGAAACGACGGACATGAGATGGTCGCAGTCTCAGTGTACTTACCGCAATATGGTAATTTGAATTTCATTTCATTTTATAATCCGCCCAGGAAACTACTGACGGAAAGTGTTCTTTCCAAACTTCTCTCTGACACTAATAAGTATATCCTAACGGGTGATCTCAACGCAAAGCACTCCGAGTGGGGGTGCCGTAAAACTAACCAAAATGGTAAGGTCCTCTATGAATTTATAAATAATCACCCAGTTGCCTTGCATGTTACTGAGGAGTATACGTACAGACCACAGAACCCAAGAAATGCAGACCTTCTTGATATTCTTCTGACAAATACTTCAATCCCTATTTATACTGAAGTAAAGCACGAATTGAGCTCTGACCATATACCGGTCATTGCTTACCTAGGCACTACTAAAGAGGCAGAAAATGAAATGATCCGCACGACTGACTGGAATAAGTTCCAGAAGTTTCTCAGTCAGAATCCGCCCATCTTTGATACTCTGAACTCGCGGAAAGATATAGATGATGCAGTTGATACCCTCACTGATTCAATCAATAATGCTATTGAAAATGCATCTAGACACGTGAGAAGAAATAATAACGCTGGCATTCTGCCACAGGAAATTAGAGAGATGATTAAGGACCGGAATAGGATGAGGAAAGCGTGGCACCTTACATGGAGCCCTCACGTTAAAAGAGATATGAACAAATTAAATAAATTAATTGAAAAGAAAATAGATGAGCATAAGAGAGATGTATGGGAGGAAAAAAATTCAGAATCTTAGTCCGAATGATGGCACTCTCTGGACGTTCATGCGTAACTTGAAAAGGCAGCGTACATGCAATAAGCAGATTTATACTGAAAACTCTGTTGCTCTCAATAATAAAGACAAATCGACGGTCCTTGCGGACCATTTAGAAGAGCAGTTCAGACCTAACATGACGCCCATGGACATTAATTTTGTCAATGAGGCATGCTACTTTGTTAGGGATTGGCTTAATGCCCACACTGCTAAGAGCTACATGGCCACTGCTACCCCAGTGAGATCAAAGAAATCACAAAGAAGCTTAAAGTCAAAAAGGCCCCTGGCATAGACGGTATTAATAATCACGCACTTAGAAATCTGCCCTGCAATGTTGTGACAAAATTCACGAGTATTATCAATGCGTGTCTTAGTCAATGCTATTTTCCCACAAAATGGAAAATCGCAAAAGTTATTTTATTGCCTAAGCCCGGCAAGGATAACACTAAGCCAGATGGGTACAGGCCCATTAGCTTGCTTCCGGGACTAGGAAAGGTCTTTGAGAGAATTAATCTACAGCAGATTGAAAAACTATATTGAATTACTGCCTCCGGAACAATTTGGTTTCCGGAGAAAGCTTTCAACAACGAAGCAGCAGCTGGTTCGGCTCGTCGAGTTTTGTGGGGATGCGCTTCACAAGAAACAAAATGTCGCCTTACTCATGCTAGACGTGGCGAAGGCATTCGACCGCGTCTGGCATGAGGGGCTTATTTATAAACTTATAAATCTCCCTATGGATAGAGAGCTGATTCAGCTAATTATGTCTTTCATCACTAATAGGAAATTCACTGTGGCTATTGGAAAGGACATCTCCAGTTTACGCACCATGAATGCAGGCGTCCCACAGGGGTCCATTTTAGGGCCCGTCCTGTATTTATTTTATGTTCATGACTTCCCTAGGGCTCACATTGGCAGAAATTACTTTCTTGGGTGCTATGCGGACGATACGGCATTAGCCGTAAAGTCCGCAAACGCACACCATGCAATCAAGAAATTACAGGAGCTTCTACCAGTGGTAGAAAAAAGTGGTGTACGACTTGGAGAATTGCTATTAATGCCAGCAAGTCGCAATTATTATTGATAAGGAGGAAAAATACACAGTTGACTATTAATAGCAAGCTCTTCTTATTCTCTGAAGAGATTCCTAGAGTTAGTAAGGCGAAATATTTAGGAGTAATGCTAAATGAAAGATTAAAATGGGGAGATCATATAACAGAGGTCAGAAGAAAAATTTTCACTGTTGTAAATAGTCTCATCCCTATATTGGGTAATTATTCTAGCTTAGACCTCAGGAAAAAGAGGCTAGTTTATATCACGGCAATTAGGCCATTGATGACTTATGCGTCGCCGGCCTGGTGCACGGCTACCAAGGAGGATATAAAAAGACTTCAAATCATGCAAAACAAAGTCTTAAGGCTTATCACCCATGCTCACTTTTTTGTGAGCAATGCTACACTGCACTGTGACTTAAAACTGGACACTCTAGAAGAGCACCTGAATAAGATCAACAGGAAATTCTTCACGAAAGCTCTGAACTGTGACCATATGAGAAATTTTGATATCTTTACCTACGAAATATTGAATGAGGACGCCAAACTGCGCCCACTTGCGGCCCACCTTATCAGGGACCCGAACTTTCCCACCTAGTGCCCACCTGTAAATAATGTACCCAATGTGTTTATTAGCATTCTTAATTTTGTATCTTACTCATTTATTGTACTGTGTATTTCTTAAATTCTCACTAGTTTTATTCACATTCTACACTCATTTTATGACTCCCATTACGCCTTTACCGGGCCGGTTACTTGCTAGTGAGCTCTTGCGTTGCTGGTCTTCCTGTTCTTTATCCGTCTTATCTCCTCCTTACGGTGGACATTATGTGAAGATAGTTCTATGTTACTGTGCCCATCTGGCATAAATTTGATTGAGCCAGATAAACTACTGATCTCAGTGGTATTCTGGCTATAAGTTATCAGTCAGTGAGTCAGTCCTGTACATATATTTGGGAAAGTTTTATATTCGTTATGCAAGAATAAAATGATAAGAAGTTAGACATTTAGGTATTTAGAAGAATATATATATGTATCCCGCCTATCTCAAAACGACTAGCCTAAGAACGTTGAAATTTTGTATACGGAACTGCTATAACATATAGTTGTGCACCTCCGTTTTTTATTGCACCGGTTCGGTGGGCTCATTTTTATTTTTATTCTTATATGACGGTAAATTGTGCATTTTTTTAAAAGGTGATTATGATGTTTTTATGTTCCAGTTAAAGTTCTTTTATGCATTTATTTAATCTGCATGCAATATTTGTAGAATTATCAACAATTTAAAAGTTGTCTAAGTCTTTCTAAGCCTAACGACGCCGCCATCGGTTTACATTTAGGACTCTTAGTAGAATAGTGAAATACGTCAGTTTGTGCACCAGCTCCAAGGTCTTTTTGCGAGTGGGACCAAAATTAAACTTTCAGTGCAATTCTGTGCACTGAAAATCTGTCTTATTGTCCGCTGACTTAATTGATTTTTTTTTAAATCAAGGTTGGCTTTCAGGTAATTTTCGTAATTTTCTTTGCTGAATATTTCCCGTCGTAAGCAGTCGTTTCTTCTAGTTTGAGCAGTTTATTGCAAAAGTGCTGAGTCATGTCCCCTAAGCATTAGATTCTCGTGATCATTCGCACGATGATCCGTTGCAGTATAAGTAACTTGAAAGGCAAATGCCCGTAACGAAACTGTGAATTGGTGCTGTATGTTCAACACCATTCTTACTAAAAAGATTTCATTTAAAATTTTTTTTAAAAATTGAGTTTTCCATTTTCTAAGTTTTTACTTTTATTTCAAATATGCAGCCACATCTCTAAGGATTTATGTAGAGTATTTCCATTATCTTAATAAACCTTGCAATCATTTAATTTTATGATTTAATATTTGTTTGAAAATGTAAACTTTTCCTTTCTTCCACAGGCTGAAAACCCTTACGTAAGGAAGATGATGCTGAATGTGTCGCCGCAACTCCCATGACAACTTCTACATTATTCTACGTGAAAAAAAATGAAAAGAGAACACATAAAATAAGCATCAATTGTTTGTACTAGAGATTTGTGGTGGCGATTGGAAACTCAGCAAACGGACATTTACTTTGGAATACACTGAACCATTTGGGCAAAAACCACCAATATAATCTTGTTCTGTCTTTTTGTAGAATAAGAAATATCACTAATCATACAAAAGAATGCATTTATTTTCTAAAATATATAAACTCAACATCTTAGATCCTTGCAATGTGGAACGAAGTTTAATTAATTCTTGACTTGAATGACGTTAATGAAATTTTTCATTATTAACGACGCTATGCTAGAAGAATGGAAAAGAAAAGTCACTTGTGCCATTAAAATGCAAATGCGATCCGCGTCAAATAAAGACATAAACGGATTAGGGATCATGAAGTATGCATTTTTAATCCCTCCTACGTAAAACATATCCTCAAAAGTTTTGTTGCTATTGCTTTTTGGAAAACGTTGTTACTAATATTTCTCTAATATTTAATATTCCACTCACTGGAGGATTATATCTTATTCGGAAAGAAACATAGTTTCAGAATAGTTTATTAAATTATTATCTCTGTTTTAAAAACATTAACCGCATCGGTACACATGCACTTATTTTCCCTAAGCATAAAGCCTGAAATTTTATTTTTCAAGTCCTTTTAACACTTTAGTATTTTACACCCAGGGTAAACCCTCTCCACCATAGCTTGAAAATAATAGTTTCCTTAATATATTATATGGAGGATGAACTCCTGACTTCGTGATTCCGTCCCTACAGGCGTCAAAACAACAGCATCTGAGCTTTAAAACCACTAGAAGTGACTCTATGCGCCCAAAAACATATACAAGTGTCTTCGCTTCCTGTACGGTTAAAAAAATACATCTTACATTTTAACTAAAATATTTACCACATTTTCAAATAAAGAATGCTATTTTAGCATATTTGCTACGCAGTTACTTCAGAACCAGTCAGTTAGTTTTTCTGGACAAACAGACATCAGCCTTAACAACAGGCGCGACTTTCTACATTATTCTTCGCACCAACATATCTAAGCAAGCGATGCCTGCACCAAGGTACTTCTAGACGTATCGCTGCACAAAAACATATCGCAACCGCTCCCTTTGCACCCTACTTACACTACACATAATTTTGAAGAAACGAAATCTGAAAAGTTAACTCATTAGTCTAATAAATGTAGGTAATATTTGATATCAGAGATTAAAAAAAGATTATTAAGCATCTAGCCTCAGGTAAATATTAAAAATATTGTAGTTGTAAATTGTAGGTGGTAACATACTCTGCATACATGATAATAGATCTGCGTAGATGAGAAAACCAAATCTTGTAAGGATAAATAGCTAGGTTCTTCAAAAACAAACAAGCAGACAAAAAATAGATAAGTTAATAGTGGTGCTACTCCTAATATTAAGCATGTGACAGATATATAGATTTGTAAAACCAAAGGTATGAGCAGTTTATTATTAATTCACCAGATAATAGTCCAAATTTTGCTACAAGTGACTGCAGTATAGATATTAGAAGAAGAATAAATAGGTGTCTTTTTATATATGGAGGTGGTGACCGCCCCAAAACGTTTCTGTGTGTTCTCGTGAGGGAAAATGTACCAGCCGTGTCGAACTGTCATCGACTGCGATAACCGCGTCGTGTTGAACATCGGTGGCATTCGCTTCGAGACTTACAAAGCCACCCTAAAGAAAATTCCAGCCACTCGTCTATCGAGGTTGACCGAAGCCCTCGCTAACTACGATCCAGTTCTCAACGAGTACTTCTTCGACCGCCATCCAGGAGTTTTTGCCCAAATTCTCAATTATTATCGCACCGGAAAACTCCATTACCCAACAAACGTTTGTGGACCGCTTTTTGAAGAAGAGCTAGAGTTCTGGGGACTGGACGCCAATCAGGTATTCATTCATTATAAAATGGCTAACTCATTGTTAACCCTTCAAGCTGGTATTTAAACTTTCATACTGCATTCATCTACAGGTGTATAGACGCACTAACATTTCTACCCTTTGTTTTGCTTATTATATATTTATTTTCGTTTGAAATATTATAAATCGAATGCATTTAAAACTGTCTGAGCATGAGTTTATTGCAGAACGTGCTCAATCTGTTCAACAGTTTGTTTTGCAAACTCTGAGAAGCGAATTTTTTCATTCGCCACAACTCTCCGACCCACATCGTCAGAAACTGCCCTGTGGAATTGTGCGATGACAGCCTCGAGTTGAGCTACTTTGCTATCTTTCTTGCAGATATCTTATCTTTCAAAAAACTCCCATAAAAAGAATTCACATGGGTTAATTATCTGGACTATAGAGTAGCCACTTTCTCCCACATTCGCAACTTTCAGGAACTCAGTGTGACACTACACGCACATTAAATACATCACAAGAAGTCAATAATTAATTTTGCAGGATGTGGGAGGGTTCTGTCTCGCAGGTGACAGCCTAAAACATCGCGGATGGAAATGTCGCGGAGAAAACAACGCAAGGGGAAAACGTCGTCACATAAAACATCGTGGGAGAAGAGTTCTAAAACATCGTGGTACAAAATATCGTAGTCGAAAATAAAGCAGTTTCAAAATTTCGCAGTTTAAAAATATCGTCGTCACAAATATTGTTGGAAAACATAAAGCACCTACAAATCATCGCATGACGATAACATCGCACACATGCTTTTTTTCAGGCTTTAAAAGTTGTAAATGCATATTCGCATAAAGTTTTGGAAACGCAAAAAAATGTTAACGACACTTTAAGAATAAACGGAGACAAAGGAAGATATAATTTTCACAAAAACAATTTCAGATTAACAAACGTGAAAGAAAGTAATTTGATAATTAACTAAGCAATTTTTATAGAGATAACCCCGTGCAGTTATTTATCGTCCTTTATCTAAGCATTTTGGGCTATATTTTTTATGATAAATTATGAGTAAAAATTTATAAAAATGATTAATTTACTAATCACCTTTGTTCAATAACTATGGAAAATTTAAAATTCGATTTAGTGCTATAAGTTGCATATAAGTCTCTACTCATTTTCAATCTTTAAATGCCTAAGTTTTCTTATTACTTTTCAGCAAAAATTTATTAGTTCATTCAAAAATATGAAATATAAAAGTAAAACTATCCCTGTTTTCTTCTTGGGCACCCCAATCATTATGCGAAAATGCATTTACAGCTTTTAAAACCTCAAAGACGCATGTGTGCGATGTTATCGTTATGCGATGATTGTAGGTACTTTAATTTTTGCAACGATATTTTCGACGACGATGTTTTTAAACTGCGAAGTTTTTGAACCGCTTTATTTCCGACCACGGTATTTTGTACCACGATATTTTAGAACTGCGATGTTTTCTCCCACGATGTTTTGTACCACCACGTTTATGCCTTGCTTTGTTTTGTCCGCGACGTTTCTGTCCGCGATGTTTTCGGCGGACACCGTCTCGTAAAAATCAATGAGTGTGTAAACTTAGATTTGTCATTTTCAGGTGTGTAGACAGGACACGTTTTGGATGCCATAGATTTGTCTTCAATACGAAGACCGTGACTTCCAGTTGCTGACAGAATTTCTGAATGCACTATCTGCAAGAAGCCCGTCTTGCACCAAATTGTGCACAGAAACGTCTTTGTGTTTCCACCTACGACTTCGTTTTATGGAAAATCATTACAACTTTTGCTTACTGTTCAAAACGTAACCGGTGTTTATCCGACGTCTTGCGAACTGCTGTTTCGTGGCAAATTAGACACGGATATTGGCTTCTCCTGACATTTACCAGATGTTTCATGAATAAAAGCATCAAAATATGTGTTTTAGCATTAAATATACAATATTACAATTTTTATGCTGTGTGTGACATGAGTTGAATTTATACGGTATTCAGAGTGACATATCGTATGTCACCCTCAATATTTCAATATCACAAAACAATTACAAATTTGATACCAAGATGTTTTGTTACTAACAGATGCCGAAGTAAAAGCAATTGCAAAAGTTGATTATGAATATTTGTTTAGACAAAACTCAGATTATTGCTGAGAGTATAAATGTGGTTTTCCGACTTTAACGGTTAAAAAGCTTTGCATTCTCAAATTTCTACCATATATTATTGGAAAAATTAGATTTAATTATGTATGATTCTTTATGTAACTCAGTTGAAGTCTTTTTTTTTCAGTTAAAATTTTACTCTTCTTTGGTGTTTATATGATTTAAAGAAAATGAAGTCATGCTTTCATGTATTAAGTCTCCATGCCCTTTGCATCAAGTCCCCACTGAAAATGATGCTATGCTTTAAGTTTCGGTGCCTTTTGTAACTGAACTTCAGAAAACTCTTCTGTTTTTTAACTTATGTCTTTTAATTCTTGGATTCTTATAAGTAAACTTGGCTTAACCAGTGCATTTTCTAGCTTGATAGAGTGGTTCCCAAATTGGCTTCGACTGAAAACTCAACAGGATCCCCATTGATCTTGAGATAAAATTATGTGCTTTTAAATATTTATTACATTGATAATCACCACCTATTAGTTTGTGTCGTCTTTGATGGCATTCTGTTTAAATGAAGCCGACTACCAAGTCAATCATTGAACGAGATAAAGACTTAAGTAACCTGTAAGATATGGAATGGAACCACTTGAAATCTGTCAGACATGTTTCGAGAGCTTATTCAGGGAAGACGAAGAATAAGAAACCATTCAGTTTTTTCCCCTCGGGTATGTTCTCGATCAATATTTGAATGGCTTTTAAACATGTAGCTCTCGTCGTAGTAAAATAATCTAATTCATAAATTAACTTAGGTTAGATTAGCCCTAAGATTAGTGAATGTTTTGTTGAAGCATCTGCATTAATTTGAACGTGTTGGTAAGACAAGATTATTCAGTTGATGGACAACTACCCAAAGATGTAGAGATTAATTGCTGTGCTAGATTTCGCAATTTGTATTGTAGAAAATCGCGGTATCTAGAAAATTGCGAATTTTTATTGCAGAAAATTGTGTGTCTAAGTGTAACACTATTCATGTATGACTGATTCTCGTGATCTACTAAATATAGTCTAGATAAGTCAGGCCTTCATCATGGCCAAGGAAGGAATGGTTCGCTCCCGTCGCTAGCAAAATTCTTGCGTACCATATACGCCAGGGATTCTCAAACACGGAGAAGTTTCATAGTTTCAGGAGGAAATGCGGTCAGCCTTTTATCTACCTGTTAAATATTTAGTTTTAGCTTATTAATATAAGAAAACTGCTTTTATTCAGGCTTTAGTATTTATCAACGTTTTCTATACTTATTTAATTTATGCAAATGTACATTAGGTATTGCCAGGCTTTGTTAGCACTTAAGCCCTTCGCAGTTTCGATGGAGAACACTCCAGGGACTGTCTGAGGACCTCCCACCCCCTTTTCTTACACCAAACGTTCGGGAGGACTTCCGGCTTGTCGAATATTTTGAGTAGCCCTTGTTACACGGACATTATGCTGCTACAAATATCCATACTTTCTGGTCCATACCTAACCCATCGGTAAGGGAGTTAGCGTCGCTAAACACTATAACGATCGCGGCAGCACTGGCTAAAGATAGGGGTTATTTTTAGTTTTATTGCACATATAATATTAAGAACAATCGTAACAATGAATTTTGGTGAATCACGTCATAAGTTGAACATGTTCGGTCATGGGGAACAACGAAGTGAGAAGAAAGCAATACATACTCATTTGAACATACATGTAACCTCGACATATGAATGACCATGAGTGATATCTGTTAGTAATATTCTAGAGTTCAAAGACGTGGCAATGGCTTTAAACCGGAGCAAATGATGATTTTAAAGTTCCGTTTCAAACTTGGAAATCCACAGAAGTTATTCATCACATGACGGAACAAGTTACATATTTGAAGCCGTATATGGACGGATTAAACGTTTTTGGAAAGGAGAAGATTCCACTGAAGACGGTGCTCGAAGTCATAGGGCTAAGACTTTGCACAGTGACAAAAATCGTTGAAAATGTTAACAATATGTTACATAGAAAGAACAACAATGAATGCTAACACGTACAAGAATGTTCTAGAGTTTTTATTGCAAATGACCCATCGAGTCGGACCAAAATATGCTGAAAAGGCTCTTAATTCCTTCTCTCTGATAACACCCGTCTATGTTTCGCCCTCGTCATGAAGCTCTTTATGGTCTGTAGAAGAGTTGTTGCCATCGATCCTCTGACCTCGCTACACCAGACTTCACCGGGTAACCAGTCTTAAAATTAAAATTAGTTTCGGACATTCCAGGCATTCAGTGTAATGGAATGAGAGCTCTTCATGTGATACCAAAAGAAGACTTTGTCCTCAGTTCAAAAACTGTACAATCGTTGTGAAACGTGCATTGCAAATAACAATTATTTCTCCGAACGGAAATAAAACGTTATTCCTGATTTAGGTAAGAATCTTTTATTTGTGCATACATTCACCAAACTGTATTGTACAAACCTTGTAAAGACAAATGTTTGATATAGTGTATTAAACGATTGCTAAATTATTTACAATTTTCTTCAAATGATCATTAAAATGGAGGAATATACGAATTTATGTAAATCCTGGTAGCTTCAATGCGAATAACGATCCTACAATGGTTTGAAGATGATTACTCCATCAATGATCAATGGAGCTTTTAACGCCACCTTTCCTTTTCCATTTCTGTGTTTTCATACTGTTTCAAGCTGTAAATACGCATATACATTCTTTGTCGCTAAAACTCAATTTAAATCAAAATATAAAGAAATCTCACTTACCTGTCAGAAGCATTCTCGCCTTTTATCATTTTCTCTATATTTTATTGACGACACAATTAAATACATTTAGAACAAAGAGAGGCACATATAAACTTTGGTTAATGTTTCGCGTTGGTGTTACATCTTT